GACCCAGGAGCCCTGCCGCTCCCGGAGAACTCGCTGCCTGGGCGCAAGGCGCGGGCCTTTCTTTACTTTTTAAAGTGTGGTTTCCTTTAGTTCACTGAACATATTTATTATGGCTTTGAAGTTTTTGCTATGTTCAACAGCTAGATTACCTCAGAGTCATTTTTTGTTCCTATGTATGGGTCACACTTTCCTGTCTGTATTCATGTCTTATAATTTTCATTGAAAATTGGACATTTTAGATAATGTACTATAGCAATTCTGGATACTAATCCTTAACCTGGGGTTTGTTTGCCTGTTTGCTCAGTGATGGGGCTGGAGTTTTCCACTGAAGTCTGTTTCTTCCACAGTGTGCACCCTCTAATGTCATACCTCAGAAGTAAGAGCTCTGGGCATGCACACTGTCATCCTGGAATAGCATGGTTCTTTGAGTGTCTCTTTTCTTGATTGTCCTGTTAAGTGTCTGAATGCTCTGCCACTTTTTTGTACTCAGCTGCTAGCCTCCTCTTATTACAGACTAATCATTCTTTTGATTTTGATAGTGTCATACATAACCTGTTCCAGTCTGATCTGATTAGATTTGGACTCTCTCATAAGGGCAGCCTTAGAGGCTTGCAGTGAACCCAGAAGAGCTCTTCTTAGCTGTCTCTTTCCCTATTTTGTTAAATTTCTAGCTGATGTACAGTTTAGTTTCTTTTTCTTGTGAAGCTATCCATCTCGTGTTATTTGCTTACTTCCAAAATCTCCATTGCTTTTGAAAACATCCTTAGGCTTGGACTTCCCAAAACTGTTCCTCTTAGAGAAAGTTCCCTGTTCTTAAGCCTTGCTTCTCCACTTGGCAAAAATTTGAGTTACTACCTTGCAGCTATTAGCAGTGGCTGTTGACAGTTTCTCTTGGAGTGACACCTTTGCCTTACCAGTGGAGGAAGCTGGATGACTTTATTCTTGCATCGTCCCTCCTAGCAGTGAAACTCCACTCCATGAGTGAATGGAAGCAAAGGCAGTTAGGACCTAGTATTTTTGGACTGCTGTTTGAGGTATAGCTGTTCTGTGAGTGGGAGCTGGGTAGAGGAAGGAAAGCCCAAACCTTATCAGCTGTTCCTTCAAGGAACAGAGCTTCTGCACCAGAGAACTGAAGGGAGAGTGGAATAAGAAATGCTGTGACCCTGACCCTGCTTGGAAGAATGAATAGACGTTGACTGGCACCTGGAAGAGGGAGCCCTCAGGCTGTACTTGCTATGAGTAGAGCTTTCATCTTACTGAGCTAAGAGCGGGAACAGTTATGGCTCAGTGTCATTGACTTATAGTTCTTACCAAGAATTCATTTTCTTTCCTATAAGTGTTTCTCCTTTTGTTATATGCCTTTAGGACATACAGAATTTTCAAGGCCGGGTGTGGTGGCGCACACCTGTAATCCCAGCACTCGGGAGGCTGAGGCAGGAGGATCCTTGCCAGTTGGAGACCAGCCTGGGCTACAAAGTGAGTTCAAGGCCAGCTCTAACCCTGTCTCAAAAAGACAAAAAAAAAAAAAAAAAGAAGGAATTTCTAGAGAATTTAAATGGTAGATGTTATTAGTTTTTATAATTTCCATCAGTTATGGTAGTTTTGCTGAAGAGAGAATCTGAGGAGTTCCTTATGCCACAATTCTGGAAGTGTCGAACTCTCATTTTGAGATCCTGTTTTTAATTTTTTATTCTCAGATCATACCTTAACTCAGGAGTATGCATACTACAGCTCTTGGGTCAAGTCTGGTTTGCCTGTTTTTCTAGTTGAAGTTTTATTAGAACACAGCCATGCTCATTCACACAAAACCTAAAATAAGTAGTATCTCATCCTTTACAGAAAAAATAAAACTGACAACCTTACTTTACTTGAAAAGCTTTACTAAAATATCTTTTCATCTTATAAAGAACAAAAGTTTATTTTGGTTCATGCTTCTTGAAGTTCCAGTCCAAGATTGGGAGGCTTTCATCATGTTAGACCTCTGACTAGGGGAGCACATTGTGGCAGAACAAAAGTTAGAATCTTTTATTCTTTATAGGTATAGATACTTTTGTAATAGATAAGAGCTGTCAGGAATACTAACTGTAACTAAAATCAGATTTGGGTTAAAATAAGGACAAAGATATATTTGTAATATAAAGCATAATTTTTCTTTTCTAATATTTTCAGATCTGGTAGCTCAGCGAGGAGAAAGATTGGAATTATTGATAGATAAAACAGAAAATCTTGTGGATTCAGTAAGTATGGAATATTATAATATTTTTTCAGGATGTAAAGTAGAAAAACTGCAAAGGATAGCTATCATAAATTGAAATGCCTTAAATTCAATACTGTGGTGGGTTTTTTCTTTCTCATCTCCAGTAAGTGATTATATTGTGATAAGAAGGACAATGAGGCATAGAAAAAAAAGCTATAATCATTAGTAGCAATTAAGGAAGGTTTGTTTTGGAAGATATACCCAGCATGTAGAAACAATTTTCTATTGACAGAAATTGCTGCAAATAGTTGATTAAAGAGATATGATAAAAATATGATGAATGATGAAAGTAAAAATTTATTACAGTAGGAGGCATATTTTCCAGCCTAGGATTTATTTTTGGGGAAACATGGGTAGTTGGACACTTAGATTGTTATACCTTTTAGCTATTGTGAATAATGCTACAGTGAACATTGGTGTAAAGTGTCTATTTGAGTCCCTGCTTTCTATTCCTTTGGGTTTGTATCTGGGAGTAGGATTGCTTTGTCATACAGTAATCTGAAATTTATAATTTTTAAGACCCACCAAACTGTTATACATAACAGTTGTACCATTTCACATTCCTACCCTCAGTGTACAAGGGTACTAATTTCTCTACATTTTTATCAGTACATTATTTTCCATTTTTTATTATAGTAATTCTAGTGGATATAAAGTAGTATCTCATTGTTTTGATTTATATGTCCCTGATAACTAATATTTTTAAAATATCCCAGTTAGATGGCTCTGCACGTGCTGAAGATTAAAATTGGTCCCATATCTTTCACTGTACACTAAACTAAATTCAAAATGAATCAAAGATCTAAATATTAAAACACAAACATTAAATCTGCTAGAAGGTAGAATAGGTAAAACTCTTGAAGACATGATATAGGCAAAGACTTTATGAATAAAACCCTGATCACACAGGAAGTATCACAAAGAATGAACAACTGAAGATCTCATCTTATTAAAAAGCTTTTGCATATCAAGCAAAACCACCAACAGAGTGAAAAAACAACCTACAATATGGTAAAAAATGTTTGCCAGCTGTTCCTCAGATGGGTTTACTATCGAGAACATATAAAGAACTCAAAAAACTCAGACCTCCCAATTTTAAAGACCCAATCCAAGAATGGATATCTTAGGTGAATACACACTTGGCAGATGAAGAAGTACAAACAGCAAATAAATATATGAAAAAATGTTCAATATCACTGGTCATTCGAGAGATGCAAATTAAAACAACACTGACATCCCATCTTACTCCAGAAGGAACGGCTATTATCAAGAAATTAACTGACAAAAAATGCCGGAGTGGCTGTGGGGAAAAAGGAACTCTTCTCCACTGTTGGTGGGAGTGTAGACTGGTGCAACTCCTGTGGAAGTCAGTGTGGAGATTCCTCAGAAAACTAGGACTGGAGGTCCCATTTGACCCAGCCATTCCCCTTCTGGGTATCTTCTCAAAAGAATTAACATCATAACACAGTGATATATGTGCACCCATGTTTATAGCAGCCCAATTTGTAATAGCTAAATCTTACAACCCAAATGCTCATCAACCGAGGAATAGACAAAGAAGATACGGTCTTTTTATACAGTGGTGTACTACTCAGCCATAAAGAAGGATACACTGGAGACTTCTAAAGGTAAATGGATGCAACTTGAGACCATACTCAAATGAAATAAACCAGACACACGTGTAAATATCGTATTATCTCCCAAGTGTGAGAAGCTGAAAGAGTAAATAAGATCCACAGTGTACAATGGATTGTAACATGGGAAGAAACTTGAAAAGGAAAGATATATTGGAATGGGAGAATGGACCAAAGAAGGAAGGGAAAAGCAAAAAAAAAAAAAATATATATATATATATATATATATATATATATACACACACACATATGCATAAATATATATGTATACACATATACAGAAAAGATAAGATAGTTGTACTGATTTCTCTTAGTTCATTGAAAAGATAGGTTTGTGCTAATATTGTCTGGACAATTAAATGCTGGTATCTTGTACTCTGAGTAACTAATTTAAAGATAACAGTACACAATGTACTAAGCATTGTGACTCTCCTGTTATCTTGTTTTGAAATTTGGGGGTTTTTCTCTCTTTAAAATAAAAAAAATACCAGTTTGATATAGTATGGGAAAGTCAGTGGGTGCTGGAGGAGATCACGGTAAGACTTAGAAGGAAGATGTGTATTATATTCACAGGTCCTAGACATGGGGTGACCATGTGCCACACAGGGTTACAGAGGAAAACACCAGGGTGTTAAGGAGGTAGAAGGGCAAAAGAAATGGGGAATCAAGGCTAAAGACTTTCTTAGGGCTTCTACAGGAAAGGCGAGATAGAACAGAGTAAAGCCATTTAGAATTGACCATCTTGATAATTTCAGTGGACTTTGAGCTGTTGGGTTGGTCTCTAGCTACATGTTACCTGGTCCTGGGATGATTAAGGCGGTGGAATATTGCTTCTTGAATTGTACTGGCAAGATAAAAGAGCTAGAATTCTTGATTCATAAATTTTCATTATCAAAAACATGCAGCTTGAGACCATTATGATAAGTGAAATAAATCAGACATACAAACTTAAATATTGTCTAATTTCTCCTATATGAGATATCCAAAGAATAAATGAATTGAAGAGCAAAATAAAAAATAATAGGAAAGAGGGAGATAGGTCTTCTGCAAAAGGGAAAGGAACCAACAAAGGGATGGAGGGGAGAGAAGGGAGCTGATGAAAGAATTAAGATGTGTTATGTATGTGTATCAACTCCCCATGACGAATGTAATCATTATGTACTGCAAACGTGAACTAATCAAAATCAAAATCAAAACAGAGGGAAAAAATGATATACTCTCTGCTGAGCCCTTTGCTATCCCTAAGATTAGCTCCCCTTAAGAATGATTCCCTATCTCCCTAGCCAAAATTTTTATTAAAGATATTAAGACATAGTATACAGAAAGATTTTTAAAATATATAATGCAACTAATGTTGAAAGTGTTGTCATGGGTGTACTGACTGTCTGTACCTCTTTGGAAAAATTATTTGAATCCATAGCCTATTTTAACAGTATTTTAGTAGTTGTTATTGCATTGTAGGTATATTTTTAATATAATCTGGATATTAGCCCCTTATAGATACATGCTTTGGAAACATTGTATACAATTGTCTGGGTTGTATTTTCATTCTCTTCATAGTATCTTTTGATACACAAAAGTTCTTAAATTCGATGTCCATTTTATCTACTTTTCCATGAATTTCTGTGCTTCCAATGTTATATCTAAGAAAACATTGCCAGATCCATGTCATGAAGCTTTCCCCCTGTTGTCTTTTAAGCATCTTGTAGTTTTAGGTCTTTTTTTCCATTTTGAGTTAAATTTTGTTTATGGTATAGTCTAAGGGTCAAAGTTGATTCTTTTTCATGTGGATATTTGATTTAACTGACATCATTCATTTAAGAAACCATCTCTTCCCCTTGAGTGGTCTTGTCATGAAATTGTATTTCTGGGTTCTGTATTCTGTTCTATTATGTGAATGTCTGCTTTTATGCCAGTATCATACAGCTTTGTTTAATGTACCTTTGGAGTATGGTAAGTTTTACAATCAGGAAACATAGGTCCTCAAATTCTGTTTGTCTTTTTCCAGGCTGCTTTGGCTATTCTGGATCCCCAGACATTCCATAAAAATTTAGGAAGAAGTTTTATTTCTTTAGTACTTCATTTATTTATTTATTTTTATTTCTGTAAAAAATTGCTGCTGGAATTTTGATAGAAATTGCACTGAATTTGTAGATCATTTTAAGTAGTATTATCATTTTAACAATATAAAGTCTTCTAATATGTGAATATGAGTTGTCTTTCCACTTATGAAGATTGTCTTTCTGCAATATTTTATCAGTCTTTCCTTTCCTTGGTTAACTTCATTTCAGAGTGTTTCTTCACGCTATCAGATAAAAAGAAGAGACCTTACAACTGATGCCATAGAAATAAAAGGTATCATAAGTGACTATTAAAACCAATTTTGTTACAGCAAATATAATAACCTGGAAAATAAATTCCTCAAAACAGACTAGCTATCAATACTGAGCCATGAAGAAATGGAAAACTTGAATAGACCAACAACAAGTAAGGAGGTTGAATAATCAAAAACCTCCCAACAAATCAAAGTCCAGAACCAAATGACTTCACTAGTGAATTTTATCAAATATTTAAAGAAGAATTAGCATAAATCCTTCTAAAGTTCTTCAAAAAAAATAAAAATGAAGAACATTTCTAAACTCATTTTTTAAGGAAGGCATTACCATGATACCAAAGCCAAAGATAGAAGAAACCTAAAAGCCAATATCCCTGATTAACATAGACAAAAATGTTCTGAAAATAAAACTAGGTAGCCAAATTCAGCCACATATTAAAAGAATCAATACCATAACTGTACGTGCCAGCCTATGAGTTTATTCCCTGGTGTGTGTGTGGTGAGGGAGGCGGGGACAAGGGTGAAAGACAAAAAGACACAGTTAATTTGGGGCCAGGGAGCTCTTGCCTCTAGGGAACAAAGAGCCCTGAGCATTTGGCTCACCTTGCTTTTATTCACTTAGACATAGGAGCAAGCCATTAGAGTAGCAGAAGATTCATCTGCCTCCTTTTATCTATAGTGTATGGCCAGGTAAGCAAGTGGGTATCAGCTGTGCTGACCCTAGACCTTGCAGTGTGCCAGCATGCCTGCATGTTGCCAAAGGGGCATAGCTTGCTGTTTTTCTCCTTTGTGCTTGTAGAGAAGGTCACTTCGGCCTCAGCCTTCATTATCTGGCCTCCTACAGACTAGAATTCAAAGATGATTCAATATATGCAAATCAATTAATATGATCCTATCACATTAATAGAATGAAAGCTAAATCACATAATAATATCCCTGGGTACAGAATAAAGCATTTGCCAGAATTGAACATCCTTTTATGATAAAAAGTACACTAAGAGTAGAAGGAAT